AATGGTAAGGCCATGATACAAGTTAGGTTTGATGAGAAGGCTATTCGAGTGCAGCTGACCTGACAACACCTGGACTATAATAGAAAGACAATAGTTAAAGGTCACATGCAGCGTAAAACACAACTTTGCAGATTCTGATACCTTTCGGTATGGACTTGCCGAAATAAATCACCAAAAATGCAAATTCAACTTATAAAGTTGAAAAATAACGCGATGAAAAAACCGCGCGAAATCGGAGTTCAAACGATTCACTAATTTTCCCCCTGCGCTGAGGGGGGAAAAGTGGTTTCAAAAGCAGCTGTGCTGAGCTGCGCTCATAGCACATGCGCAGTGAAATAGGTTCGCGCAGCTTGGAAGCGGGTTATCCGGTGAATACTCGGTGAGGGCTTTGGTGTGAGCTATTTTTCTAATGTTTTGTTGATATTTCACAGGCGCGAGCTTTTTATATGTTTTGACAGTAGATTACCGATTTAACTGAATATATAATTTCATTTGTCTATTTCACCACACGTTCTTCTTACCCGAGTCACTTTCTCAGTTCGATACTTAAAAGCAATGTCATTATTTAGCGTTGACAGAATTTCTAACTGTGATATAGTTATGTCGTTGTCACAGACAAAACTCAGTGTCTGTTTTATTGACACCTATGTGTCTGCCTGCCTGTCTGCTAATGACAATATTCAATACACAACTTCGATCACTGACCACATGCAATTTGAACTTAACACCTATCAGGCTATACACCATAAACAAAACGCATTGATTTATGGCCCGAGTTCGGTCTCTGTCACATTATGTAATTACACAGACAGGCAGGTGTGATACTTGTACACATGACATGTTATGATGTCTGTTGATTGCAAATTGTTATACACACAAAAATGAGCATGTATTTACAAAACCCAACATCTCTATACACACACACACACACACACGAGCCGTGAGGGCATCGGCAAATGAACCAGCCGTTACACTTGAGTGCACACCCACCCGCTCTGACTGGGTTCGGTATCCCGGCTGCTTCATTTCTAGGGAGGTAAACCCAAGTACAAAATGTTGCACTTTTGATTTGCGATTGTACGCTTATAATTTTGTTTATATGTTTTTTTCATAATCAGCAATGTATATAATGTGTCATGAATAAGTGATAATTGTGTTTTAATTATGCTTGATTTTTTGGTTGCATGTGACCTTTAAATTAAGCTTGGATACTGATTGGCTTGGACTGCACAGAGTGGACTAGACTGACTGAAGGGCACAAGTTGTTGACTTCAGACAGTGGCCAAGAGGGGATGTGTGATGCCAGTGAGTACATATATAGCTGAATTTACAGGCCAGACCAAGTTTATTTCTTGTTTTACCCCAAGTTGTGTTACCCCATTTAGAGGTTGTTTCACCCAGCAAATAATAGTAATTATTATTATCAACTATGAAATTGACTATTTTGAATCTAGTATCAGAAAACGTTTTCAAAAAGATATGACGGGTGACAAAAACAAGTCAGATCCGTTTGAAGTCTGCTGCTTCAGGCAATGGAGTATCTCCCTATCCACAGCCAGCCGCTCCTTTTCCGTGGCCAGAAGATCCCTCTGTACACGGAGCTTCTCCCTCTCCACCTCCAGAATGCTCAGTGACATGTTCTCACTTGACCTTGTATCTGTTGAAATAAAGAAATGTCATCATATAATGACAATAATAACATAATAGTCTGAAATCAAATAAATATATTTAGACTGAAATATTCCTTAATAGTACCAATTAGTGGAATGTCATTTCGACTAAAACAAATTGATCATTGACTAACATATTGAATCAAGTAATTAACAAATTTAACCAGATACATTCTACCCACTCCAATAGAAATTCTATGAAAGAAGGATATGAATGATGTGCCATGACTAACATTAACAATTCGATATTGTTTGTAAATATGTAAGATTTTAATCAAGACATTAAAAAATAGATATCACAAGAGTTGTATTGACAATTGTATTGTCTAAGATACAGTGTCCAGACATTGATATCATATATCGTGTCACTCCTCATGTAAAGTTCTTACTCACTTGTGCTATACTTGACTCTTTTCTGCTCAGAGGGCATGACGATTTCAACTGAAAATGTAATTGTTCATCATTTACATTGGATATTAAGTTACCTATTTATATAAACTAAGATAAACATGTTACTATCACATTGACTTGGCTTGATGCTATGTGTACTTGCCAATGAGATATCTGAGGTAAGTTGTCATGTGTTTCTTAAATGATCATTTTTTCACCCCGACCTCAATTATTTATCTTATCATTTACAGCATCACACCATATAAACAGAAATTAATCACTGGCACACGAGTTTATTACACATTGAGTAATAAACAAGTATATTTAACGAAATGTGATATTTTCACATTAGCGAGTAATTCAATTATTTCCTTATTGTTCTTCACATGTCTGTTTTCATTCACATATTGATTTGTCTTTTTCACAGTGACGATTACCTTCTGAGTTCTTGAGAGTGGGATCACACTGCTGAAATTCGGGTACTGCTGCTGATGTTGTCGCTGATGATGTTGGATGTTCATTGATAATTGGGCTGTTCCATTATTCTACAGGGCAAAAAATCATTTCCCACGCTGCCTACAATATTTTTGAGGGCAGTTTGGGATGTAGGCAGTTTGGAACTGTAGGCAGTATGGGACCTAACCCCCGAAACACATGGATGCCATACATCATATAGATTTTTCGATTCAGAGGACTGGACTCAGCAGGGAGAGTGAAGGTGAGAACAAGGTCGCACCTCAAAATTAGGACAACAACTAAGTCATAAGGTAACGGGATTCGCTGGACGCTGTAACCGCTTGGATGCCCTACAGATCCTAAGAAGAACTGTTATTCTGATAGAACTTTACCATGCCGATATTCCTGTATCCACATTGTTGTCAGTCAGTCGTATTTTCGGCAGGCCATCATCAACTGATTTGGGCTGAAAGTGCAAAGGAACTGCCTGTGTAAATTTCATACATTGGTAATCTCGCTGTATTGTCGTTTTTTGTTTGAAGTAGTTCTGATGTTCATACGCCAATATGACTTCCAGTGGGACACAAGTCGCTATTCGGTTTGTTCCTGAATCACACTGAACATAGAACACCAGTAAGAAAAGCCAAATCACCATCCCGAAGAGAGCGTCCAAGACAGATGCGTCCTTCAAGGGAGTTCAGATCGAATGGCAGTACGTAAAGGAAACACACTGGACGTGTTGGATGCAGCATCCTCATTTATATGTGAATGCATAAATAATAATAACTGAACAAGCACTTGTAACTGTTGTCAACAGAAGAGACACAAGGGATATGACATTCCATCTCGGACTCAGTCCTTTAAGTCTTAATGTCACCCTAGCTTGGTCAAACACACACCATGCATGTCTCCGTGTTTGATAAGTACAAAACTTTGAATACCAGGACAGCCATTCAATACACGTTGTGACAACACAGTTGACTAGGAAATACAAATACCAGAGTGCTGTCCCATTGCGAATGCGGCTGACATACGTGTATATGCCACCGACACATATTGAGATATAAAATCAGCACATCATAGATGTAAGTCACTCCTTTTATCTTCTGAACGGACACCTTAGTTTGGTCTCTACGAACGTTTCGAGAATAGGCTCGATGGAATTTTAATTTTATTCAAAGCACATTCTTTCAGAAGAACCAGTTCGTGATCTATCTCATTTGTAAATATACTCATGCCAATAATGGTTGTCATCCCCCTCCCCACCCCAACCCCACACACACCTCACATCCCCACCCCACACCCACCTCTCCAATTAAAAAAATTGAAGGGGGTGACAACCATTATTGGCATGAGTATACATATATTGTTTTCCTTCTTCGCTGTCAGTCGCAATTAAACACAAGCACGCTGTCAAATTCAGCTGATAAAAAACAACAACATTGGAAAAGCAAACAATTGTGACGAAGACAATGAACTCCTCTTTCCCTGCAGACCAAACCTTAATGCGGGATATAGAAAAGCAGTCAGTGAACAGAGCAGTTGCCAACATGAGCAGAGCTCAAAAGGAACACTACATCATCTGTTTCAGTCGATTTCTTTTCAGCACACATCGTTCCTGTGATTCAACTACACTTATCTCTACTGTTTGGTGTCAGGAAGGTAATGCACCGCTAACTCAGTAGCTGATTCAAATACAGATAGATACCGTGGTTATGCAAATATTGTTTGTTTCACGCCGCCATAGGCCAGCTATATGACGCTGGTGTTTAAATAACTGACTCTGAACCAGACAATGTAGTGATTGACATCTTAAGCATCGAGTTGCACAACTGGGATACGATGACATTAGTCTCGTTAGTCGCCTCTAACCCGCATCTTAACATTGTCCTTATGGCATACCTTGAGTCTACATGCAGACACTTTTTATTCAGAAATGAACTGAAATAAGGATTGCAGATTGGATATAAAAGCCTGTAGTGTTTTCGTAGAGGTAGCCATCATGTTTTAGCAAAATCCTTACTCAAATTTCACTTCAGAAGAATCTAAGTTTATGAATATCAGGGTATGTGATTTTGAAGAGATACATATATTGTGATATATTTAATACATCAGGCCAAATCAGCAGTTTGTGTTGGCATGTAAACAACAGCTGATAAACACAAACGCATGTCCCTGTGCAGTATTCTACACAATCACTGTTCCCGTTACCCAAAAAACTCACATCACTGTTAAACATGAATTCATATTTTTATTATCTGTTGCCAAATCTGTCATACAATAAATACAATCATACAAAGTTATTTACTTTTACTTTTTTACAGTCAAAAACATTTAATATTTTAGTTGACAATTAGCCTTGTTTAAGCTTAATACATAGATACACATGCACAAACATATTCATGGAGGAAATTAAGGCCATAATGCTGCTTCTGATCAAAGGCAGTCTTGATTTCATGAAGACTGACTAAAGGATCCTGGCGTCTAGAACGAAAGACCACCCATGCCCTGGGCGCCTCCCATGTTGCCCTGAGCATTATTCCCTTGGCCGAGTCCATTGTTCATTCCGGAGGGTAGTCCCTGGGGCATACCACCATTCATGGGGGAGTTAAGGCCTTGCATGCCGTTGTTCATTCCTCCTGGATTTGCTGCTGGACCAACTCCTTGCATACCACCGTTCATCCCTCCCGCAGATGCCTGTGCGCCAAATCCTTGCATACCACCATTCATTGGACCTGCAGATGCTGGGGCGCCAAATCCTTGCATGCCACCATTCATTGGACCTGCAGATGCGGGGGCGCCAAAGCCTTGCATACCACCATTCATTGGACCTGCAGATGCCTGTGCGCCAAAGCCTTGCATACCACCATTCATTGGACCTGCAGATGCTGGGGCACCAAAGCCTTGCATACCACCATTCATTTGACCTGCAGGTGCTGGGGCACCAAAGCCTTGCATACCACCATTCATTGGACCTGCAGATGCTGGGGCGCCAAAGCCTTGCATACCATCATTCATCCCTCCATTGGTTGGAGCGGCCAGTACGCCCCTGGCAAGGAACTGGTTCTGGGAGGTAAAGGGCGTTGTGGCGGGCTGGCTGTCGTACCCAATCTTGCAGCAGAGGGGGATGACGCCAACGCAGGTACTCGAGACCTGCTGTGAGGGACAGAGAGCCAAACCGCGACCTGTCATTTCCTGGAAGGTGAGAGTGGTCAGTGGCTCGGAGTAGGTAGCTGTCTGGCCCTGCATGATGTGAAGGGGGGTCTGGACGACGCCTCGTGGGGTTGTCGCTTGGTTCCACCAGCTACGGTCAGCCAGGATGTCGCCGAGAGCCCGACTGGAACATCCCTCCTCGGTCCTGGAGTCTTCTGTAACCACTAAGTGGAACCGACCTTGAAGTGTCGACTGTTGGCTGGAGGCGATGACGGCTGACAGCCGCACGGATGCAGTGCTGCCCCACTGGTTGCCCCAGTTGCCTCCCCATGGGTTGTTGCTTGTCTCACGTGTGAACGTCACCCTCATCTCATCCCCGTCACTGTTGAGTCCGATACATGTCTGGTATTCGTTGGTGTCCTGAGCAGTATCCATCATCCCGCCAAATCCACCCATTGAGCTCTGCCCCATGTTCCACCACTGAGCATTAGCATAACAGGAAATTGCCACTACGGCAAATAAAACGGCGACGAAGTGATGACCCATGCCTCCTGAAGACTACTGTTGACTGCTTGAGATTAGCAAGTTGTGACTAGCCAGTGGTCAGTCTAGGGTTATATTCGCTTAGATGCGGGTGCGGGGGCAATAAATCTCGGGTCCAGGGCTCGGCTATCATTAAGGCGTGGGAAGTGGTCAGGGATGTGATTATAGTGACCGCCTCGAGATATTACTGTGTAGTTTTATTGATGTAATGAGTAAATTAAGGTCAAAAATGGGATTTCGTGATTTACGTTATAACGTCTATACCAAACAGGAAGACATTATGTTGAAGCACGAGGGACATATATGTAATTGAAACTGAGAGTAGGTAGGTCCTTCCGTGATGGGTGGCCATGTCAGAGGCGTAGGTCTGTGTGGTGTATTTCGGAAATATGTATATTTATGGATGTGTTTGCATGCTGGAATCCTTCCGAATCAAGTTATTTGTGAAAGATTAAATTTCATTTCATGTTCAATGATGCAACAAATATACTGACATTTAGCAACGAATCCCTAAATACAATTTAGAAATAAATGAATGGGAAGGGTTAGGGTTCATTATGCACCTGATTAAACATACCCCTTTTCAGAGAGAACATGTACTTTTTGGTGAAGAAAGAAATTTGAATCATAAAATCTAATATCTTCATTCAAAGAAAATAATAACTTGATGAAGAGATGCAGACATTGAACACATGATTTATTTACAAGATTTTATTTGTCAACATTGTCAACAATTGCTGTACATGCTGGGATGGGTGACCCAGTCGCCTAAGACGCCACGATGCGCTACCATAACATTATAAATCATATAATCCTACGATGTATCAAACTTGAGTGATTGGATGTTTTTATTTATATTTACGTATGCTCTTTGAAAACTAAATACAACTAAACACACACATTCACTCAAGGTTGATACTCTGTAGCATTATATGACTTATATTGATAAAAATCTAGGCAGGAAATGGGGCTTTTAGCCAATATATTTAGGATGTTTAGAACCCGTCAGGTATGTTCATATGGCTGAGAACTAGACTTTGTTCATTTAAACTTGCAGCAACTTTAAATCGACAGATAAGAATGGAATGTTTAAGAAAAGATGATTTTCGAGATCATATGTTCTTATTTGAACGTCAGCCAATCTTTAACCCAAGTCCCAAACAGTACAAATCTAGAACCTGGGATAACTCGAAGTATTTGCGTAGGTCCCATCTACCAACCACGGTGGTTGACTCTATATGGTAAAGAATCCATATTGAATCAGGTTCTTTCTCGTGGTTTTAGTCCAATTAAACTTTTTTCACTTATCGCAGTCAGATTGTGAAATCAGTCATTTCGTGAAATGACTAAAAATTTCAGTCATTTCGTGAAATAACTAAGAGGGTCAGCCATTCAACTATCCCTACTACTCGTTCTCTTTCTTCCTGGGTTCTTCTTGGCATTCTCTCTGTGAGACATTGTGGGCGTTTTGAATTAAGATAGTTTCATCATGATATATATTCAGCAATCTGTATTCATGATGCTGTGCTACCTAAAGTAATAGATCGTATTTACTATCCTGGGGATGCACTTCACAACATTTACCATTGTGTGGTCGAAACTGTGCATAAGTCGCTCATGAAGAAACTGATAATTAGGAGATAAACATGCCGTGTTGGATAATCAGAGGTATATAACGGAATTATAATAGATCTAAATTCGATTTAAAACCGAACGCGTAGAGTATGTTTATCTCCATTCTACCAAAACCGCGTTATCAAGATTTTAAACAAATACATACTGTGTTGGAAAATCAGAGGTATATAACGTGATTAAATAACTCTGAATGACTGTAATTAGTCACAATCCAGTATTTACTGAAGTCATGGTAGAGGTATTCGTTGCGCACCGCTGGTCGTAACGCAGTTCCTACACATTGGCTCAGTATGAATATAGTGAGAACGTTACCAGTGTATGCTGAAATCTAGACCTGAGTTAGGAGGCTGGTTCGTTTCAATATTTAAGTGGCATCACATTTATACATTCCTGCATGGAATATTTATATGTCATTGTGTTCAGTTGTTTTTAATAATTCGTGCACATTTTCCCCTGACCAGCGCTAGGTAAAGTTTCAACAAATACCATCGTTTAATGTCGCTTGGTACGACGCCACCGGAATTCAAACCACCGGCCTCGGAAGCGGTCTGAAATAAAAATAAAGTAGAAACCACTGTCGAGTAAACAATAGAATCTTGACCAGTCAGTCTTGCGATGAACAAAATCTGAGACATAATAGCCCATTAACTGATTTTGTTTAAACTAAAAAGAATTCCTAATTTTAATTAGTTTGCTGTGTACATCAGCACAGATCCTGTTGCTTGCCAAGTGAAACGTATAAGAAATATGCACCCCATTGGGGAGGTTTTCATGTGTCTGGCCTGATATTCTTTTGTCGAATAATTAATTAATTAATTGTACTGAACTGATGACGATACTCGATGGCATCAGCCGACGCCCGACAACAATCAGTCTCAATTATCCGCCGAAACAATATTTTTAAACCCCACTGGATAACGGTAAATAGCGGCGAAACGAGGTCACGTTATATATCTGGTAATTGTTCTTTTGTTGAAAATAGGATTAGGAGCGAGTTAATCACCCATTTTAGCCCGAGGAGTATTGGTTGTACACGTTATGTTAGCCGCTGGCGATTATCACCGCGACAATAAGGATGGACATATTGGTCGGCCATCCAACTTTGTCATCTCTAATCGACATTCGGGCGGTGGGTAGCGTAGTGGTTAAAACGTTCGCTCCTCACGCCGAAGTCCCTGGTTCGATTCCCCACATGGTTACAATGTGTGAAGCCCACTTCTGGTGCCCCCCGGTGTGATATTGCTGGAATATTGCGGCGTAAAACCTCACTCACTCACTATTCGACATTCATGATCACATGTTTGAAGAAAGTACATGGAACATTATTTAGCTTGAATAATTACCTAATGGCTCTAGAGACTTTCAGTGGACTCATATGGTGGCCCGAATGTGGTTGCTGGCGATCTATATTAAACGTTTATAGTAGCTTACATATGTTATATTTGGGATTACACTTTCTCAGTAAAGTACTGATTCTAGTACTTTTATTAGGTTCAGTCCCATCCGGGATTCGAACTCACACTCTCAGAGTCAGGCACCAAATCGCCAGCACACAAAGTCGGCAACCTAACCCACTCAGACACCGCGACTGATGATGAATATATTGTACATGACATGCAGTGGGGTCACTTACTTTGTACATCAAGTTTAGATGGGGGTGGGGGGTCATTCGCATTGTATATACTACCCCATAAAAACCATCAGCACCAAACCCATCCACCCCACCCCCACTAGCTGTGAATATTCTCACGGCTACACAAACAACACACTCTGATGGGCACACCACCTTATTAATCAAAGTTCTATCACTTGTACTTTGCGCTATAGCAATATGAGTTTTCTAAACGGACAGTCGAATAATTGTAGATGCTATAAGGGAAAAGGTATCCGCCTATACCACTTGCGAAAACTAGAACCGTCAATGTTCCCATAGATTTTTATGAAAAACCACAAACCACATCAAACATTTGACATAACCTGTCAGAAGTGTGACAAAGTATGATGCATGACACTCCCTATGTATCGAACTACACACGACTGAGAAAGTGGTGCTTCTTTCTAATGTTGGTTGATTAACGCCGCGTTCAGCAATATACCAAATTGGTTGTGATGGCGGTCTGTAAATAGTCGAGTCTCAACCAGATAATCCAGTGACTGATACGAGCATCGATTAAAGCGACTGGGATACGATGACATGTCAACCAAGTCAGCGAGCCTGACCAGCCGATCCCGTTAGTCGCCTCTTACGACACACTCGGGTTACTGAATACCAGTTTAAATCCAAATATTCACAGGTCGAGGACTGGTGTGATATCAGTAGTATTTCAAGGAAGTTACCTGAAAAGGAGTGAGTGAATGAAGACAAGATTTTGTGTAAAATTGTCTATTAGGTGCGTAAGGTTGATGAGTGAGTGGGTTTAGTTTTACGCCACTTTTAGCAATATTCCAGCAAAGTCAAAGTGGGGAACACCAGAAATGGGCTTCACACACTGTCCTGATGAGGAACATTACATCATCTGCCAATACTGACCATGCATTGAGACTATACGTCTTTTCTGGACTGGTTCAACTGTCCGATTTAACAGTTGAAAATCAAAAGCTCAGATCTAGATCGATACTCGATACGGCAAACCATTCAATTACTAAAATAACTCTACAACACAGAAAATGCGCTACCCTGGTTCCCAGCTAACACAAAACGTTTATAAAACGTTTTCTATTGGTTTCTCAGGGAAATGTTTCATGAAAACGTTTTTGTAATGTTTTAAAAAGATTTTTTTTTGAAAACGTTCGGAGTAACGTTATTTAAACGTTATCAAGAAACAAAATCCCAACTTCTACACACCAACGTGTTAGAAACGTTATTGAAACATTGGCGAATGTTTCCCTAATGTTTGATTGAAACCAAATCACAACCTGGTAAAATTGTTATTGAAACATTTTGAGGTAAACATTTCTTGATAAGCATGTCTCCGTTCACTGCAGGAATGCATACTAACTTGAAAATAATGGTTATGCAAATACACCTGCACATAAATATTTGTGAGAATTATAAGTTTTAGAAAACTGTTCTGAACATTCTGCTAACTGTAATAATATGTCATGTGTTTCATTACAATCATTGATTTTTGTACAATACTATTTACTTTAGATCCAACATTTTATTGTAATCACCCGTTTACTGCTGTGCGTTTGAGTTCAGCCTTCTCTGCGTGGACAGCTTGCTATCTCTTGTATCTCGGTGTCAGCTCTCAGGAATTTTCCAAGATACTTTATAAATCAGGTCAGAGCAG